AAACACTGGCATCTAACAACGGATTGGAAAAAACAGAATAAGCATGTGTCCTAAACTCCTGAAACATCGGTGTCTCATATTTTAGAGCTGTTAATATAATTATGAAAGATATCAATTAAATCTGTATGTGTGTGTGTGCGTGAAAATATTCAGATGCAAACCCTTTGTAATCATTAACATTTTTATAAGTAACTGTAATTTAATTGCAAATTTTTCTCAGTAACTGTAACTGATTACAATTACGTTTATTTTGTCATTAAATTATGTAATTTAGCTACATGTAACTAGTTGCTACCCAACACTGTTTATGCATTATTACAATAATAGAGGTGAAAGAGTTCATTAACCTCTTTAATGTTAAAAATGTGAACAATATCACTTAACAATAGTTTGGCAAACAAGGGTACGCTCATAAAACAAGCCAGACCCGATTTGAAGCATCGTAACAAGTACAGTCATAGCAGAAAATGGTTTATAGCGCCGCAGTTAATTAAAGTAATACTATGTGCTAATTTAACTGCTTTATTTACAGTATGCTGAATATAAAACTGTAAACAAGAACATTAAAACATTTCAAGCTTGTTAAACAACCACGTACATTCCTCTTATGAAAACGCTTTATAAAACATTTATCAAATACTATAAAACTCATATCCGTTAAGCGCTGTTTGCAAGTTCACATGTAAATTATCAACAAGTTCTCAATCTGTTCTCATGTACGCCAACATGTTCTTACAAACAGAAACATATTTATAACGAACTTGAAAATATGATCAAAACATATAAACATCCGTCACACATTGTGCACTGATCTAATGCATTCTGCACACCTTAAAACAATTAATTCAATCAAAAACCTGACCAAAACTAGACAGACAAAAGCTCAATGATAGTTGGCATGGATCGAGAGGAAGGACAAAATAATCATTCTTTGCCACAGTAACATACTGGGGTCCGGGAAATTTGATATCCTTACTGTAGATTTTCTTAATATTCTTTATTCTTATTTTCCTCTTATTCATAAACCTACAATAGTTAAGGAAAATTCAACAACTTTAACTGATTACATTTTAAAGGCTCTAACTGAAGAAATTAAATCAGATGTTTTTTGTTTAGACTTGACTGATCATTTTCCGATATTGCATTATTCTGTAATTAGGGTTAACAGGGCTAAACTCTCAAAAGAAATACATCAAAATAATTGTATTTTATTGATCGATTAAATGACAGTCCTTCTACATGGCACAGCTTAATACTAAACAAATCTTACTGTAGATTTTCTTAATATTCTTTATTCTTATTTGCTCTTATTCATAAACCTACAGTAGTTAAGGAAAATTCAACAACTTTAACTGATAACATTTTAAAGGCTCTAACTGAAGAAATTAAATCA